AAAATACGTATGTGTAGAACACTAGTGCTGAAGAATCATCATTCAGGGTGGATCGGGCAACCCTAAATCCCATAAGTATCATAACTACTTCAACATGCTAAGAACAGCGGGTTCTAATCTGAATAACTGGGTTTGATTTCTCACTCTTCCACCTGAAGCTTGCTGGGTGATCCTGGGCCATCCACAGTTCTCTCAGCACTCTCTCAGCTCCGCTTACCTCACAAGGTGCCTGTTGTGGGGAGAGGAAGGGTAGGCAATTGTAAGCTGCTCTGAGACTCCTTATCTTCCCACCACAGACCTGTGATATTCCTAGGGGTCCCCTGAACTCAGTGAGCAGCATTTTGAGATACACTGTGGTCTACGTTGAGAAGGAAGAGGTGAAATAACTTCCACATTGGATCCATCCATAGATAAATGCCTGGTATTAAGAGCCAGTGTGGTATATTGGTTAAGGGCGGCGGACTCTCATCTGGAGAACCAGGTTTGATTCCCCACTCCCCCACATGAAGCCTGCTAGCCTGGGTGATGTTGGGCCAGTCACAGTTCTCTCTCAGCCCCACCTACCCTACAAGGTGCCTGTAGGGGGGAAAGGAAGGGAAAGCAATTGTAAACTGCTTTGAGACTCCTCAGGGTATAGAAGAGTGGGGTATTAAAACCAACTGTTCTTCTTCTGCTCTTTCCATTTATACAGAATACTCCCCATTTTCCCATAAAACTTCCCATTGATTCAACTGGTAACACTTTGTAGCAACTATCTGTTGGGATGGGTTTTGCTTTGCCTGGGACTGGCACTATTGTTTTTTTCAAATGCAAGGCCAGATTATTTTTCTGGGTATGCTATCAGAAAAAGAAGGGTCATCTTAAATTGTCATATAACTTAGTTATGTCTAATAATAAAAATCTGTGTGTGTATAATGGGGGGGGGCTCATCTTCCTTTTGAGTAACCTGGTTTGCACAGAGGCCCTCTGCTGGAGAGAATAAGGGTTGCTCTAGCAAACAGAATCTTTCACACGCTCACATCTCTTTCTGGAGGACCGAACCACATCCAGCCAAAATAACTCCAACATGTTTCTTATTATTTATCTTGCCCTCCTATGCAACTCTGAAGTTATCCAGTGATTAAACATACTGTACCTTTGACATTTCCATAAAGGCCAAATGTTACCTCATGTAATAATAAACAGCAGTTTTGAAATTCAAGGGAGATAGTGCAGCTCACCAAACGCAACATAAATTGGTATATGGTGCAGGAGTAGGCAGAAACCTATGTGTATCTGAAGCTTCAACGGCTAGAGATAGCGGGGAAATAAATGTGTCTCCTTGACACAGTGAACACAGTCCATGTGTTTTGAGGTGTCTACCATATGCAATCAGGTACTTGACATACGGAGATGATTCAGTTCTTGAGATGATTTTTTTGTTTGTTTCAAACCCAGGATGAGACATAACCAGAACAGAACTCCCAATATTGTCAAAATAAATTCACATGTAAAGTATTGTAAGCAACTTTGATCCTGTGCTGGCCAGAATAGAGGAGATAAATTTCTGTACTAGAAATGACAAGGAACCATCTTTGTGGTTGATCAAATGTAGAGTTGTTAGAGAAATTGTGCCCTTTCCTCAGAATGATCCCCCTCCTATTAGAGAAAAGGGCTGGAGTTTACAACTATTTCTGGATTTTCTAATTCCGTCGCTGTTTTTAATTGGCATTGTTACTAGCAAAGGTCATCACCGTGTAGACAGGCCTTGAACTCTGGATTTCCTACTTGGTTTAAAAATGGACAAAAGGAAAAGGGAACCCCTGATGGGAAATACCCTCTCCTGGGAATCCAGGCTTCTTCCTGAAAATAAACCTCAAGCACAAAAAACCCCACAGAACACGACTGGAGGTCTGGTAGGGGGTGCAGGTATAAATAGAAAGCACATTGATCTTGGTTTTGAAGAGAAGGTTGCCTGCAAACAATTTCTACAATTCACTGTTGTCACAAACTTCTGATGCCGTTTCAAGTCATAGATTTTAAGAACAGCCCTCATCACAGTCCAAAGAAGAATGTCTTATTTGCGGCCCAATCCAATGCACTGTGACCAAGCTTAAACCCATTTATTTCAAGATGGGTAGTTGAATTAGTCTGTCTGTAGCAGTAGAAAAGAGCAAGAGCCCAGTAGTACCTTAAAGACTAACAAAATTTGAGTCACTGCTCACTTCTTAACTCACTATCCTGCTTTGCTTTACCCTTGCTTTGCTTATCCACCCAATCCCCATTTGTGCAACTGGAAGGATTTGCGCCCCTTCATCCCTATGGGACAAATATGCCTGAACCGGATGCTGCTTAGCTCCCGCTGGCTTGCACCCTGGGTTCAGTTTAAAAGCTGCTCTGCCACCCTTTTTATGTTACACACCAGAAGTCTGGTTCCATTCTAATTCATGTGAAACCCATCTCTTTTGTATAGGCCTGGCTTATCCCAAAATGTCCCCCAGTGCCTAATAAATCTAAAGCCCCCCACTCTACACCATCATCACATGTACACACTGAGACTTCCAACTGTGCCTGTCTAGCTGGCTCTGCATGTGTAACAGATAGCATTTCAGAGAAAGCTACCTAGGAGGTCCTGGCTTTTAGTCTCCTACCTAGCAACCTAAATTTGATTTCCAGGACCTCACAACTACACTTCCCTGCATCGTTGGTGCCAACATGCACCACAACCACTGACTCCTCCCCAGCACTATCTACCAAGCTATCCGGACAATGGGTGATGTCTGCAACCTTTGCAACAGGCAATTCACCATGCCACCCAGAGTGCAGGGGGTTGGACTAGATGACCTGCAAGATCCCTTCCAACTCTAACATTCGACGATTCATGCCTGTTGAACCCAGCTATCTACATGTCAAATGACTGAATCTCCCACTATGACAAGCCCTCCGCACCCTTGGAGGCATATCCTCAGTTTAAGAGGGTATGTTCATCCACCAAAGAAGAAGTCCCTTCTAAGGGATCTTGTTCCCTTTCCTCAGAATGACCCCCTCCTTCCACAAGGTCCTCCTTATCCATGACTGGCAAGGAGCCATCACGCTGGGATTGGGATGCCACGATCACATCCCTGAAGGCCTTGTCAGCCACTCTCTCTGCCTCAGCTTTCAGGTACTCTGGCACCTGAGAGCGCAGCAGACACTCACCGAAAACTGACTGCCATCCATTCGGAACGGATAAGGAAATAAGTGCTGCTTGAATTTCACCCAAACATAGGCTGCCCGAAGTTGTCACTTGCTAGGTCAACACTGTGGGTGCGTAGTTACCATCGCTGAATGTATTCTGCTTGCTGTGCAGTGAATAAAATCTTAAGCTTGTGTAGCAGAGGCTGAAAGTGGGACCTGCTGTCCCCAGTTCAACTCACATCTCAGCCAAAAACACCCTAGGTGGTTTAAGGCAAGAACTCTTTGCCTTAGGCTCCACCCCACCCTGAATCTACAACATACAATAATTGTAGTGGCCTACGTTATAGCGGTATTGTATATATTACTGAAGTAAGGTGAGCAAAGCATTCTGTGTACTTAAAATGCACAACAAAAACTCTTGAGCCAGAAGGTTCCAGTTGTGTATCTACATCTTTTTTTATCTTCATACTTTCTCTTGAATCTTTTTTTTTTGTATTTGTGTGTGTTTGTGTGTCTGCACCTGGAAGTCACGTTGACATCTGGTGACTGACCCCTACTGGGGGTCTGGAGGATATTCAGAGAGGTGGCTGAATAAAGCCTGCCTCTGTCCTCCCCGACTTGGTACTCCAAGGAAGTCTCCCATCCAAATACTAACCACAGTTGACCCTGCTTAGCTTCTGAGGTCTGACAAGATACAGCTCACCTGGGCTAGTCTCAACTCCTTGTTTTTGCTTCTCTGATTGCAGATCAGAATATTAGAAACACGCACAGACAACATTCATGCACTGTTAATAGAACTCGTTCCTTTCACTGGATGCATGTTCCCTGATGTCAGTTGAATAGCAGTAGGGATTCCATTCCCAATGAGTCACTCAATATAATCAGTAATCCTAAAACGTCAACTTCTATAGGGGTTCTCATCATGCCTGATTTGGAGTTAAGGAACAGTACCAATATCAGCACGGCCATCACCCAGGATGCAGAGGTGAGAGCTATTTATCATTCACTTTGAGAGCTGATAGTGAGGCTACATATATAAGCAAATATTTTGCATTTATTCAAATCTTGGTTCACTGAACGTTTTGAAGGCTCTCATGCCTTTTCAATGAATGAGATTTTCACTGGATTAGTTTACTGACCAATATTAAATATGCCAGTTTAGTAAGAAAGTATGAACATGTGTTGCCTTTCATAGAGTTGAAGACACAAGATCAGTAAGAGTCAACTCACTGTAACAGCCTCCTGGTTTCTCTCTCACTGACAAGGTAAGAAACCAAAGTTCACTCAGGCTACCTGGTATGGCTTGCCTCAAAGAAAGCCTTCACTCCCAAACACACATTTTTGGAAGCAAGCCCAACAGATTTTTAAAAGTGTTTTTCTTCCACCGGTTAGCTAGGTTCAGGTATTCTGATCCCATGATGGCTTCCTAAGTCAAGGAAGCTCATCCGAGTTCCCCAAAAGTGTAGTCATAGTGCTGTGTTTCCTTCCCATGTGATTGTTCTCGGTTCTTCATTTAGAGGAAAGACAACATAAGCCAACCACAAATAGCTCCAGTTGCGGCCCAGGGCTTGAAAATCCCTTGTGAATTCCCCCTCCTTTGCAGTGGACACAGACCATTTCCCCCAGCCCCAGGCAACTGGAGATTTAGATCTGATCTGATGTACAAGACAATCCGAGGTGTCGCTCCTGGCTCAGAGAACCTGAAAAGTTTGGATGCTGATTCCTGCACGTAAGTAGGCTCGTAGGCCTTTCTTGATTCTCCTACCTTGCCTGTACCCACAGTGCTTCAGATGGCTTAACCTGGGAGCCAACCATCCGATCAGCACCTCAGATGTCTTGGCTGATGCGTATGGACTTGAGTGGGCAGTCTGGCTCTCTGGTTGCAAGAACACACAGATGCTAGCGCTGTGTTTAGTTGTAGGAATTTATTTTAAATAACCTACAGTTGATTAAAAGGGAATTCATGATAAAAATAGAAGATACTTGTTGAGGAAAGACTGCGGGAAACTTGTATTTGCACCACACTAAGCTAACAAGGTCTCTAAAACTAATGGATTATAGCAAAAAAGGGTTCACATTAAAATTCTGCTTTAATTCTTTTTTTAAATTTTGTACACAATTACAAAAGAAAAAAAAAACAAAAGCCCTAAGATCTTGATTATTTTTCTGGGGGTTTTTTGTTTGTTTGTTTGGACCAAAGCTCACTTCCCTCAAAATTTCATTGACCTGTGAAAGTTCTTTTGTACACAATAAAATCTTTCAAGTAAAAGAGGGGAGGGAAGAGGGTTTTTTTAAAAAAGAGGGAGGGGGAAGAAAAGCCATCTGTCAAAAAAGAACAAAACCCAAAGGAAAAAAATGTGTGGATATTTCTGATATATATATTATGTACTCAGAACAAAGTATGATGGGAAAACATTTTGTCACCAATTTATCGGTACTCATAATCTATTAAAAACCCTCCCCAGCCTTTTCCTTCCTACCCTCTGCAAAATCTACATGATCTTTAAGATCAAGACGAAGAAAAAAAAGTTTAAATATCTTAAAATAATTAAAAGCAGTAAAAATTCACATTAACAAAAGAAGAAAATAAAGAAAAACAACACTCAAGTCAGGAAGGACCTTCCCATCATGCTTTGCTTTGACAAGATGTTGCATTTTAATTATATGTTGTCTCAATGCCATGATGGTGGCAAGTAAAAGTGAAAACACAACAGGGGTGTTTCCATGACTGCCAGAGCTGGTGCGCTGAGGGCTTCGGTTGTGTTAAATTAATGAAGGGGGAGGGGGGTGGGAAATTAAGGAGTCCATTTTCTATTAAAATATAGAAGTTATTGCAAAACCCTAACTGTAAAAACGCACCAATATCTCATTGGATTCTGTATACAGTAGCTAATGATTTCCAAGCTCTTCAGTGTCATGGGGAATTTGCCTGCTGGAAGGTTAACAAATTCCTCCCCATCTACTTGTCCTCCCTCCAGAGATAAAACACAAACCATACAGCTAGAATTTGGGTCTCTGAAACAGTTTTTAAATAAGTTGTCCATAGGACAACTGGCTCAGCTCCTCTATAGTATTTCCAGGTGTATCTTTTCTCAAAGATGTTGGGTACTTGGTCGGACACTCGCTTTCCCCTCCCAGTGCTCCCTCCCCCCCCCAATATAAAGGACAAGTAAGGCTCACAGTTTATCACTCTCCCTAAAACCAGGCTACTCCCCCTCACTTCCATTAAAATCCAGCCATTAAAATCAGGTTAAAACTCATAGTCTTCATCTGCCATGTCAATTGCCCAGGCAAATTTCTCCCGTTGGGTTTTGTTATATATTTTCTCTATAGGTACTCCCCATTTCTTGCACCTGAAGGAAAGAAGAGAGAGAAGAAAGAAATCAGTAGCAATTCATGTGTGTCTAGAAGACCAGTTCTGAGCTACACAGTAAGTCAACCTCTATAAGTGTGTGGTGTCTCACTGCATTATTTTATACTTACGTAATATCATATTTTGCATGGTGTAACACATCATGTCTAATAATTGAAGCTTTGAGATTTTTGCACTCCTAGTCCTATTACACTGCTTATTAGATGTCTCATCCTACCGACTGCATTGACTTGTATCATGTAATCTATCTGGAGTCTCAGTGAGAAAGCTGAACTATAAATGGGGAGGGGGGAGAGTGACATTCCTGCAGGACTCAGAAGTCCTGTATACTGATACAGCTTGTGTAAACACGCACTTGTCTGCTCAACAGTGCATCTGTAATAACCGCTAGGGGTGTGCAGTTGGTATTTATTCAGCTGAATACAGGTCAGAGATCTGTATTTGGCTACTGAAATAACTGTGCCAATATTATTCGGCTTTTATTCTGGCACAGCTAGAAGACATTTAAAGGGACCACAGCCTCTTTAAATGACTTCTAAGTTCACTTGCTGAGTTGTGACGTGAGTGAACTCAGCAAGCATTTAAACTTTAAATCCCTTCTCCATTATACCCTATGGGGACCGTCCCCATAGGGTATAATGGAGCCGAATAATATTTACCTGAATCCCAATATAAAACCGATTTTGGTATTGGGGAATATTCGGAATACCAAATCAGAAAACACTTTTTTGGGACACCCCTAATAACCACAGTTCTGAAAATGGATCCATCACACTGGGCTGTGTATGTGTGCACGTGCCCAAATTCAATCAATCAACAGTCCAGATGTCTGTTGGTTGTCTAAGCATGCAAACATGTAAACAACCATTTTGACTGCAAAAACCTGAGCACAGCTGGCAACCTGGCATCAAATTTTGCATTCTCACAAGCCATGCAAGCCACAGTGGAACACAACACAACCCTGCATTGCTCTCCTGTGCAGTTCTATCAGCTTATCAAAGTCTAAGACCTTAAGCAATCATTTATAAACATAATCTACACATACTGACAGCCACATTCAAAACACCCATAAATCTGAATTGTACAGGCAAGGATTTTTTGTGGTTTTTAAAGGGAAGGGCAGTAGCTGTATTGAGCCACAGAAAAATTCCAAAACATAATAGCTTTTAGAACCAACCAAAAATATCCCCAAATGGTGTGCAAGCTTTTGTGCTCCACAAAACTCTTAATCAAGCTAGATGTTCAATACACAAAAAAGAATGAAAAAGAAAAGTGTGTGTGCATGGGGGGGGGGGGGGGAGAATAGGGATTCAGGGCACGATGGAAAAATCCAGGTGTTAAAACCAAAGGTTCCAACTCTGGAACAGGATGCAAGGCTCCTCTGCAAGTGGGAACTGAACCTTCAGATCTGCAGCTTCTCAAATGGAACACAGGATATGTGGCAGAGCCACCTGGGTTACATGGTCTTGGGTGCAAACAGGTTCCAGGGTACCCTGAAGGCTACTGGGACAGAGAAGCAGGAAAAAAATGGCCACACTTCCTTTCAGCATACGAAGGCCAGCCCTAGTGCTATTCAAAATACACAGACACAATGTAAGGTAGATAGCCGGGGGGTGGGGCACCCCCACCCCAGGCCCTGTATTAATTTCAGATGATACACCGAAACAGAAGATTGTGGCAAGACTTCACTAAGCTATTTACACCTGTTCCTACTCTGAAAGCTTTTCTTCTTCTTCACTTGTCAAAAGACCTTCAGTGTCTGAACACCTATGCACTATTTCTGTGCAGGGTTCAAAGCTGCACGCAACTGATGTACAGTGGGTGAGCAGGAGATCCCCTACATGGGTCACTCTGTTCAGACACTAAAAACAAACCTGATCTATGAAATTTCTACCAGCCAATCACAGGTAAGATGGTACCAACCTCATTCTCTCTCTGTGCTTTAAGCAGACTGTTACATCTCACAGGAACTTACCAGGCAACAGAAATTCTAGGATCCAGATAATTTAGTTTGGAGGTTCCCAAGGCAATTTGCTTATTTTCCTCCCGATCTGTAGCCTGAACCTCCAACTTCATCAACTGCTCCTCAATTCTCTGTACAGCTTTCTTCTTACTTTCCACTGACCTGTGAAGTGTAAGGAGGACAATACACAGGAATTGTAGGTACCTGTTGTATCCCACTTGTGCAAGACCTTATTTATTTATTATTTATTATTTATTTATTTGACTTATACCCCGCCCTTCCACATGGGCTCAGGGCGGCTAGCAAGAGGCAAATTGTCATACATAACCATAAAAACCAAATACAGCAGTCAATTACATTTACATTTTACATTTAAAATCGGTGCTCACACAATATTGTTCAAGACGGGGTCTCCCATACAATGTCCAGAGGTTCTACTGTCTCCTCTTAATCGATCTGCGCTATGTCCGTTCTTCAGTCCCCGGGCCAGTTCGCATTGCCAAGAATGGCAGCGCAGTGATGGTACAGTAATGGTGGCGGCTCCTACTCAAAAGCCTGGCGGAAGAGCTCCGTCTTGCATGCCCTGCGGAACTGCATAAGCTCGTTCCACCAGATAGGAGCCGCCACCGAAAAAGCCCTGGCCCTAGTCGCAGCATATTTGACATCTCTAGGGGCTGGGACAGCCAAAAGGTGTTTTGCCCCCGACCGTAGTGCTCTTGGGGGAACATATGGGGAAAGACCTTGTGCAATTGATTTTAGAGCACTATAATATATAGCGATGGAAGCCTTAAGCATTGCACAAAATCTTGTGCAAACCAAACTGGGCTAAGTCCATTTATGTTTCCATTTGCACAGTGCTGGATCTAAGACATCATTTGCTTATTCTAAAAAGTTTGCAATGTTTTTGAGTGTTTATCTATGTTTTTGAGTGTTTATCTATGTCCTCATGACAACACCGTAGAGAGGTCAGTACCGTTCCTGTTAGACATAGTGGGGGGACTAAAGTTGACATAAACTTGACCATGGTGGCCCAGAAAGACTAAGGCTGAGGTAGGAAACAGGAGCAATATCTACCATCAAATGGGCCAATGTTCTTGAGGCTTCCACAGGACACTCACAGAAAAAACAGGTTGCTTACCAGTAACTGGTGATCTTCGAGTGGTTATCTGTGCATTCACACCAATGGGATCTAGTGCGCCTGCGCTGGATCTGCCGGTGCCTAGCAAGCTCTTCTAGAAGGATTTTCGTGCCTGGCCCAACTGAGCACGCCCAGGAGCCCCAGTGAGCATGCTCAGAAGGGCAGGCACGGACATCCCGCCAGTTCCTACCAACCGCCGCGCATCAATCTCCTAACAAATCACGTAGAAGAAGACAGCAGCGGGGCAGGAGGGCGGGTGGTGTGAATGCACAGATGACCACTCGAAGATCACCAGTTACTGGTAAGCAACCTGTTTATCTTCTTCGTGGTCTCTGTGCTTCACACCAATGGGAGATTAGCGAGCAGTAGTTTACCTGGAGGCGGGTGCTGTCAGGTGTTTACTGCTTAGCCGAGGCCAAAACCTGACGTCCCAGACTGTCACTGGTGGACTGGCGGACGTCTAAGGCGTAGTGCCTGATGAAGGTATTAGGCGTGGCCCAGGTTGCGGCTCTGCAAATGTCTTGCAGCTGTACTCCCTTCAGGAACGCAGTGGATGTGGCTACAGCCCTGGTGGAATGAGCCCGGACGGGGCCTGGCAAGGGCCGTTTCGCCAGTAGGTAACAGAATTCTATGAGACCTACGATCCACCTGGACAGACGTTG